ACTCTCCAGGCAAGAATACTGGAGTGGGTAGCCTTTCCCTTCTCCATGGAATCTTCCCAACCCAGGGATCGAAGCCAGATCTCCTGCTTTGCAGGTGGATTCTTTACCATCTGAGCCACCAGGGAAGCCCTGCTAACATAAAACCCCAGAGTTCAAGATTTTGGGAAAGGATGAGTGTGTCACGGGAGAAAACCAGAAGCCGAACTTCAGGAGGCAGACTAGCAAAGGAAGGATTTCCAAAGAGAAGTTCCATGGCTTCCTTCCAATCTAACTTGAGCCCCAAGTATACATAGTAGTGTATGTCAATTACACATAGTAGTGTACATCAATCCCAATCTCCCAATTCATCCCACCCTCCCCTTTGCTCACACTGTTCCCTCTGCCTGAAATGCTCTTCCTGCCACTCTGTGCCACCCTCATTCCCGACCCTTATCTTCCTCTCAAGCACTAACTCATCTTCATGTCTCTGGGTATCCTCTTCTGACCACTTCCTTCTACCATAGCTCTGCTCTGCATAAGGTTTCGCAGTGTTCTGCTATTTTAAGTCAATCCTTTCTTTTGTTACCATCGAGTTACTTTCTTTTTTTATTAGTTTATCTTTTTGATATTTGATTAATCTAGTTTATCTTTTTATCAAAGGCTAACATGTACATAGTGTAAAGAGTAAATAATTCTGTAAGGCTTCGCCACACTCTGCATTTAACTTCCCACTCCCAGAAGGTGATCACTTTCAACTCTCTTACCTGATCTTCTCTTGAATGTATTCCTGTGTCACTAAATAACCTGCTTGCAAGGCTACTTTTAAAAACTTTCAGATTCTGTTGACTCATCTGGAAGATGAAGATGTAACTTCCGCCCCGCCTCTTGGTCCAGCCAGGTATATGCACACTTTCCCACTCCTGTGCCTTTCTATCCCTGCAGAGCCAGAAGGTAAGTTTGGTTAGGTCAGCATTTAGTTTCTACATCACTGTGATTGCATATATGTTCTTCACAGCTAAGCCATTTGTACACTATTATTGTTTTTCCATTCCTGCATATTTTGCTTCCCCGGGCTAAATAATGGTCTTGTTGGTTTTCTATGTACTTCTCACTGATTTACCCTCAAGTTCTCCTCCAACTGTATGAATTCCTTCTCAATACATTCAAACGCATTAGGTGTTCTGTTAACTTTCTGTTTTTGGAGAAGTCTCCTGGCTGCAACTTGAACTTGTTCTCCATGCCTGCTACACATCTGTCATCTTAGACCCTCCTTGCACCACTATGCTGGGTACTTCCTTCACCTCGGTTTTGTGTTAGAGCCTGTTACTTAAATCCCACACCTTTGTTTTCCTTAGATTACTTCCTCATCTTGGTAAGTGCATCCTTTAGTTGCCTCGTAGGCAAGAGAGTGCACAGGGAAGAAATTTTGTGTGATCTTGAATCTCTGGAAATATCTTTATCCTACCTTCATATTTATTGATTCTTTGAGCATAGAATTCTCGATGGGAGATTATTTGCCACTCAGATTATGTAAGTGTTACTTCGTTGTCTTATAGCTTCAGGTGTGGCTGTCCTTGATGTTCTGAGATTTTATAGCGCTGACCCAGTGTAGCTCCTGTTGCATTCATTATGCTGATTCTGGAAATCCAAGTCACTCATTTGGAGGAATTTTTACTGAGCCTTTTTTTTCAGTGATTCTTTTTTTCCCACCTGACTTATTTCTTCCAGAGTTCCCATTACTCAAATTCAGATCTCCTGGAAGCCTTTCACTTTGCTTTCCTCTTTCCCATGTCTGCCTTTTTCCTCTGCTCCAAGGAGATTCTTGCCTGGAGAATTCCATGGACAGGGGAGCCTGGTGGGCTGGAGTCCATGGGATCACAAAGAGTCAGATATGACTGAGTGAATAAATTTCAAGAAGACTTGCCCAACTTTATTATCATTCATTCATTCTCTTAAAAAATTTTTGTAGAGTGTCTACTGTATACAAAGTAAAATTCAAGATGCTGGAAATGTTGCTGTTGAAAAAAAAAGAGAAAACTTCCCTTATTGATCATACAGTCTTTGGACCCAACTACTGAGCTTTTGGTTTCTCCTGCCATATTTTAAATTTCCAAGAGCTGTTTGTGATCTCTGAGTGTTCCTTCTTCACAGCATCCTATTCTGGGTTTTGGCTGCACTGTATTCTCTTATCATCTCTTATCTCTTTGAGCATTTTGATAGATTTCTTTGAAGTTTTTTTGCTTCTTATACATTTGCCATTTCCTCAAAGTTGCCTTTGTTTGTTTGTTTTGGTTTATGTCTTTCATGTTAGGTGCTTTCCTCAAATACTTGTATCTGTTTATATGTAAAAGTGGCAAGTTTCAGCATCACTAATCATCAAAGAAATGCAAATCAAAACTACAATGAGATAACACCTCACACCTGTCAGAATGGCTATCATCAAAAAGATAAGAAACAAGTGTGGGTGAGGAGGAAGAGAAAAGGCAACCTTTGTTGGTGGGAATGTAAGTTGGTGCAGCCACCGTGGAAAATAGTATGAAGGTTCCTAGAAAAATTGAAAATAGAGCTACCATAGTGTAGTGAAGTGAAAGTCATTCAGTCGTGTCTGACTCTTTGTGACCCCATGGACTGTAGCTTACCAGACTCCTCTGTCCATGGAATTCTCTAGGCAAGAATACTGGAGTAGGTAGCCATTCCCTTCTCCAGGGGATCTTCCCAACCCAGGGATTGAACCCAGGTCTCCCACATTGCAGGTGGATTCATTACCATCTGAGCCACCAGGGAAGCCTAGGAATAAAGGAGTGAGTAGACTAGCCCTTCTCCAGGCACTCTCCCCAAAACCCAGGAATCAAATTGAAGTCTCCTGCATTGAAGGCAGATTCTTTACCAGCTGAGCTACCAGGGAAGCCCCAGAACTACCATATGATTCAATAATTGTTTCTTGGTATTTATCTGAAGATTTAAAAAACCCATTAATTAGAAAAGATATATGCACCCCTATGTTCATTGCAGCATTATTTACAATAGCCAAGACATGGAAACAACCTAAGTAACCAATCACTGATGAATGGATAAAGAGAATGTGGTGTGCTTACAGGTGTATAAATACATGAATGTTTTTCAGCCATAAAAAGGAAGAAGTCTTGTCATTTGCACAATATAGATGAAACTTCAGGGCATTATTCTAAGTTAAATAAGTCAGACAGAGAAACAAATACCATTCGAGTTCATTTATTGTGGAATCTTAAAAGCAATAATAATCAGCTCATTTACACACAGATCAGTGGTTGCCAGAGGCAGGGGGTGAGGTGGTAGCTGCTGCTGCTATGTGCTCAGTTGTGTTCGGCTCTTTGTGACGCCACTGGACTGTGACTCCAGGTTCCTCTGTCCATGGGAATCTCCAGGCAAGAATACTAGAGCAGATTGCCATTTCCTTCTCCAGGGGATCTTTCTGACACAGGGATCCAACTCAGTCTTTTGCATCTTCTGCATTGGCAGGCAGATTCTTTACTCCTGCACCACCTGGGAAGCCTGGGTGGGGTGTAGGGGGTGGAAAAATAGAAGAAAAGGCTCAAAAGTTACAGACTTTCAGCTATAAAGTAAATAAGTCATGGGGGGTGTAGCGTATAGCACGGTGACTGCAGTTAATAATAATACATGGTGAATGCAGTTAACAATAAGTCTTGAATATCTGAAACTTGCTAAGAGAGTAGATCTTCAAAGTTCTCATCATAAGAAAGAAAACTGTAACTATGTATGGTGACTGATGGTAATAAGATTTACTGTGGTGGTCATTTGGCAATATATACAAGTATTGAATCATTATGTTGTACACCTGAAGCTAATAATGTTATATCTTAATCATACTTCAATTAAAAAAAAGACATCATACTAAAACTGATTGGAAGCTCTGTGTGTATGCTCAGGCCCACTGACCTTGTAGATCTGGCTCTACTATTCTTGCAGAACCTCTGATATAAATTCCTTTAGGTCTTTTCTTTTGGGCTGGTCAGATTTCCCAGAAAAATCTTAGGACCATTTAATTTTATTAATTTTTACCTAATCCCCTATTTCAATACAGTAATCTCAACTTTAACTGCCCTCTGTCCTTGGTACAGAGACTCCCTGTTTTACCTTACATACAATGAAGATGGACATCCTTCTGGTTACACAGGTAATATAGTAATGGTGATGATAATGACAGTACTAGTTATCTATTGCTGCATAACAACTTACCCCAAAATTTAGCAACTTAAAACAATAAGCATTATCTCCAAGCTTCTGTGAGTCAAGCACATGCCTCCACCCTCAGATCTCTCAGGAGGTTCTAACAAGAAGTCAGCTGAGGCCAGTCCTATCTGAAGTTTCAACTAGGGGAAGATCCTGGCAGTGCCCTGGATTTTATCTTCACTTGGAAGGTATTTCTTAATTTTAGCATTGTTTGCCATCTGGAGAGGCTGAGAAATTCATCAATGCCTGACTCTTCTTTGTTTATCAGTACTTCCCTCAATATATCTCTGTCCTCTTGCATTTCACTATAAGCAACAAGGAAGCACCAGGCAGCACCTTCAGCCCTGTACTTTGAAATCTCCTGAGCTAGATGACTCAGTTCGCTGGGCACATTTTTCACTTTCCACATCACTGTAGGCAATAATATCAAGTTTCTGCCAAGGCATCTCAAAGACCTCCCTTCCTCAAATTTCCATAAAATGTTTATTTCCCTCTGAGACCTCACTGGCAGCATCATCAAAGTTCAGATTTCTATATCTGTTCAACTTAACTTAGGTTTTCGCAAATACACACATCAGAAAATCTTCCCAGGCCTCATCCACTGGTCAATTAGAAATCTACTCCATATTTTTAGGTATTTGTTACAGCATCAGCTCTCATGTGGGACCAAAACCCCTATTAGATAGTTATTGCTGTAAAACAAATTACCCCAAACTTAGCAGCTTAAAGCATTTATTATCTCATCATTCCTGTGGGTCTAAAATCCAGACACAGCTTGGTGGGTGCCCTACCTCAAGGTCTCTCAAGGCTGCCGTCAAGGAGCCAGCTGAGAAGAGAAACCACTTCCAAGCTTTTGCACATCCTGCGAGCAGCCTGCAAGTCCTCATGGACTTTGACACTGAAGACCTCAGTTCTCTGCTTGCTGTCAGCTTGCAGCTTCCCTCGGTTCTCTGCCATCTGGGCCTTTCCACAGGGTAGCTCACAACATGGCAATTGGTTTCCCCTGGAGAAAATGAGTAAGAGAGTGAGAGAGGGAAGCCCATGGCTGAATCAGTCTTTTTCATAACTAAAGCCGAGAAGTGACACCATCACTGTTCCAAAATTTTGTTGGTTAGTTGTGAGCCACACTCTGTCCAGTCCACACTCAAGGGGACAGGATTACACAAGAGCATAGATACCAAGTGATAGGAATCTTTGGGGGTCATCTTGGAGACTGTCTACCACAATACTATAACTGAATATAATATAATTATCACCAATAAAAGACATGAGCCAAGGCATTGAAAAGTCACACAATAACAGAAACACAGAACAGAGAGGAAAGGCCTTCTCTTTAGTGTGAGTGCAAGTCGCTCAGCCATGTCTGACTTTTTGTGACCCTAAGGACTATAGAGTCCATGGAATTATCCAGGCCAGAATACTGGAGTGGGTAGCCTTTCCCTTCTCCAAGGGATCTTCCCAATGCAGGGGTCTCCTGCATTGCAGGCAGATTCTTTACCAGCTGAGCTACCAGGGAAGTCCCTTCTCTTTAGGGTGGTTACTGCCAATTTCACATTGTGGTTTTGCAGTATTCACTGACGCACTGGCTGCTTTGTTGGTTGGTAATGCAAACTTCCCAAGATCTCTAAAATATAATTATGGCTGTTATGCAACAATTTTCACAATATTAAGTTTATGTGAATCAAGTATTATATAACTAGGGGTACTATTAAGATCTGGAGGAGAGAAATATACACTGAGAAGTATAATCATCATACCCATGAAATTCACAGCATAGAAGGAACCTCAGCTTCCTGGGGTGACACTGACAATTCCTGCCATAACTTGTCCAGCTTTCCTGCTTGCCTCCCTCTACTTCACGCTGACATCAGTTCATAGGATTCACCACTGACTGGCGTCTAAGCCATTCACCCATTCACTGGTCAACCACAAAGCACTAATTGAGCACCTGCTGTATGCTAGACCTGCACTACGCACTTGAGAGAATTAGTCATGGTCCCCATTCTTCAGAAGCACACAGTCTGAAGGGGTAGGTGAACATATACAAACCTTTGGGCTGAGTGGATGGGTCCAAAACAATATTCCAGGTGGTGGTCATAACAAGGGTAAAACAGAACCAAAACTTGTTTCTTGTTTTAAATTTATGTCCACTATAAGGAAGTGGAGGAGAAAATTCATGGCTGGGATGTCTGTTTGTCTTCATAAATCCCATGAAGATGTTTCTCTGCCTAGGAGCATCAGAAGGCCTTAAGTAGAAAGGTCAGGGAAAACTTTCTCACTCAGACTTGTCTAAAATCAAGCAGGTTGCCATAGAAACCACTCTATTTATTTATTCTATTTATTCTCTTTTTCTGTTCCGATCATGGCCTCTCACTTTCTCCACTAAGCCCTGCTCCTTCTCTGTCATTCTTAGATCCTTGACTGTGCCACTGCTTTTGCCTACAGCATTCCCTCAACCCAATCTTCCTCCATCTTCCCAGCTCCCCCTTCCCTCTCAGCTCAGCTTGGATACTACTTTCTCTGGAAATGCCTTCTATATGCACCACCACCCACTGACCAGAGTGATCCCCATTAGCCTCAGAGTTGTCCCTGCTCTAACATTCTTCATCACTATTCAGTGTCTGCCTCTCTAGATAGCTGGACTGTAAGCTCCTTAAGAACCAGCAAGGCTGTTATTTGTCATCTTTCCAGAACCTAGCAGAGTACACAGCATATGAGAGTGTGCAGTTGAGGAGATGAATGGATAAGTGAACAAAGCATTCTCTCTTCCTGCCAGAGGCTAAATGGCCATTTGATGGGAGTGGCATAGAGAAGATTGTGGATGAGGCTTTCTGGAGAAAATCTTCTGGATGAAGATTCTGGATGAGGGTTGGGGCTTTCAGGTGGACGACATGAACTTTTTGTGCCATTCCAACTCTACAGTTTTAGGATATATCAAAGGATAAAGCAATAATAATCTCATTCTTCCTGTATCTGCTCTTTTAAGTATATATTAAAATCTAATAATTTAGTATCTTTGCCAATCAACGCCAAACAAGACCAAGTACAAATGAAATGATCTTTTATTAAAGATAGATTTGAAGGGTCAAATGTAACTACTGGTTTCTTCCTTTAGTTTTGCTCTGAAAAGGTAAATAAGGTGTCTGATGGAGGGGAAGACCCTCTTAGAGTCCATGTTCTGAGCTGAATTTTGACTCACCCTTTAGTGCCTGAGCCTCCCTACCGGGGTCGCACTTGCAGGATGGTTGTTCGTACATGATTTGGCTCATAGCCAACCTTGAGAACTCAGTGAACACTATGAAACTTCCCCCTGAATGCACATAGACACATATATTTAGAAAGTTGCTCTCTATTCATCTCCCTTGAGATCATACAGACCTCAGGTTGAGACACCCGGCCTAGCATGAAGCAGTTACCAAGGTTTTATGTTCCTGAGAACATAGGTCACCAAAAGCACTGCCTCTCTTTCCTTCTCAAATCCTAGGGGTGACAGCAACCAATGCAGATCTGACAGCCACCAGCCTCACCAGCCACTGGCAGACACTGAACGATCTGGAAAGTCCAGATTACAAACTCCTTGAGCTCTGGATCTATCTGTTCAGTGTGGGATCTCAAGTGAAAACACAGGAAGAGGGAAAGACCAATAGAGAGTTCAAAGAAAGAGAGACGTGAATGAGGAAAGACAGGATACAGAGACAGCCTGAAGTGGGTACCAGTGTTACCCAGAGAAAGAGATGGCATCCTGGGAACCAGGGGCCAGGATGGGAGCTTGGTTGCCTCGGGCATGGCCTCCCCGCAGTGGCCCCCCAGCGCCCGCAGAGCGGCCGTGAGAAGAGGCAAAGCTGGACAGCTGAAAAACTGTTCAACTTGTTGGCATGTTAATCAATAAGAACCAGCATAACATTTGTGCTTTGCATCCCTCTTATTTACACAGAAGACAAACTGAAGAAAACTCTATTTCTTCAGCCTTAAATATTTTCTCCCCGGAACCAACCTCCTTCAAAACCACAGCGATATGGTGAGTGGGGAGATGAAGCACTTGGCTATGCTATACTTAGCTCTGACTCAAAGACCAGCTCTTCAAGCTCTTTGCTTGCTCCTTCTCTCCAGCTGGTTTCAAGAGCAGCAAAACGCTCCAATTAAATCGCCAAGAATTTGCAGTCTCCTGTTGAGGCTTCTGATGTTTCTTATTCTGGAGCCTAGAAGAATGGTTGGGAAGAGAAGGACAGCAGCTCTGGGGCAGAGGTCAAGTTCAGTCCCCCTTTACCCCTCCCTCCCAGAGCAGATAACCCTCAGACCACCCTACCCTGGCCAATACCAGGGTGATCCTGCCCTGACTTCACCTCAGGGCTTCTGAAGGCTTCTCTGACCCCCGCAGGCCAGGGAGATGGAAAATGAAGCAACAGTGGTTAAGAGTATCAGACAGACCCAGTTTTGAACCCCAGTCTGCCTCTTACCACCCCCTTATCTCCAGTTACTTAACTTCTCTAAGTTCCAGCTTTGTTATCTGTAAAATGATCTGGATAATACCTGCCACCTAGGGTTGATGTGAGTACTACCTGTGACAATGCAGGGAATGCATCTAGCATAATATGTGTTGCATGGTAGCAACTCAGCAAACATCAACCACTATGATTAAACGTTCCTCTCTCTCCAGCTCCAGCAAAACACTGAATGAAGCCTGTATGCTGAGAAGGGGGTGACAGAGGATGAGATGATTGGATGGCATCATCGAGTCAATGGACATGAGTTTGAGCAAACTCCAGGAGATGGTGAAGGACAGGGAAGCTGGGTGTGCTGCAGTCAATGGGGTCACAAAGAGTCAGACATGACTGAGTGACCGAACAAGAACAACAAAGCCTCTATGCTGGCACTTAACCACACTGGGTTGAAATGGGCTCATTTCACCACTCCTCAGAAAAAAGCCTACTCCAACTCCAGCACCTGCCTTACCATGGGCACTCCATGAGTGTTTGACACATAGTGACGTTAAGAGCTAGAAAGGAGGGACATCCCTGGTGGTCCAGTGGTTACGAATCCACCTTTCAATGCAGGGGACACAGGTTCAATCACTGGTCAGGGAACAAGCCACAGGGCAATGAAGCCTGTGTGCCACAGCTACTGAGCCTGTGTGCTCAGGAGCCCACACCACAACCGGAGAGAAGCTCTTGGGCCGTATAGAGAAAGAGCAAATTAGCCAAGATGGTGGTGGTCAGGCTCTCTCGCCCCACATTGTGTAAATATATGGTTATGTAACATCTGAGATCACACTGCACTGCGCATGCACACACGCACCCGCTTGGCCATGGGCGGCTCTTGTTCCGTAAACATATATAAGCTCCACCTGAAAAAGCCCTTGCTCCAGGGCTGTGCCTGCTGGGTCAACCACAAGAGGAGAATACAGCATGTCTGCTGCTGCCACAGCCACTGTGCCAGTCAGGAGAGAATAAATATGCCTGCAGTTCCTACGGCTCCTTGAGTTTTCACAATTCCAGCTTCCCGCTCATACCCTGCCTACCCTGGGTTCAGTGAACAGTGAGATATAGCAAGACAGGCCACAAGAAAGATCCTTGTGCAGCAACTAACACCCGACACAGCCACATAAGTAAATAAGTAAATATTTTAAAAATAATAATAATAATATTTTTTTAAAGCTAGAAAGGAAAAAGTCACAATATCTCTGGCCACTAAAGTCCCACACCAGGCAATCCTCAGACACCAGCTGGGTTGTCCCACAATTTAACTCAGTTCTGACACTACCTGGAGACAATATCAGATTCCACAGGTTAAGGGTTCATTCCTACAAGACCTCACACACACACCCCACTTTAAGCCCCAATCACAAGTCATCTGTGCTTTCTGACAGGCTGGCTATAAATCACAGTTTCCCTTGACTCCTTCCTAGGGTTCAACTGATTTGCTAAAGCAGCTTCTAGAACTCCGGAAAACAGCATACTTACTAGATCACCATTTTTGTATAAAAGGATGTAACTCAGGAATAGGCAGATAGAAGAGAAGTGTAGGGCAAAGTATAAGGGAGGGACCCACAGCCTCCACGTCCTCTCCAGGTGTACCATCTCCTGGCATCTCCACTTGTTCGCCAGCCCAGAAGCTCTCTGAATCCCATACTTCAGGAATTTTTTTAATTTTTTTTTTTTTTTTTTGCCACCTCTTGCTGCATGTGGGATCTTAATTTCCAGTCCAGAGAATGAACCCGTGCCCCCTGCTTTGGGAATGTGGATTCTTAACCGCTAGGCCACCAGGAAGTCCCTCCATACTTCAGAGATTTTTATGGAGGCTTCACTGGGTAGGTATGGCTGATTAAATCATTTGTTGACAACTGATTCCACCTCCAGCCCCTCTCTCCCCCTCCCCAGAGACTGGGAGATGGGGGGTAGGGCTGAAAGTTCCAGGCCGCTAATCACTTGGTCGGTTCCCTGGCAACCAGTTCCCATCCTGTGATATCTAAGGGCCATTCAAAAATTACCCCATAACATAAACTCAGGTGTGATTGAAGGGGGGCTTGTTATGAATAACAAAAGACTCTTTTTCATTTATGACTCATCGCTGAGGAAATACCAAGGCTTTTAGTTGCTTTGGGCCAAGAACAGGAACAAGGCACTTATTATCATAAATCACATTACAGGAGCATACTACACATAGGGTCAGTTCACATCTTCCTATCAGTATGGATGCAGAAGAGAGCTGTGGAACCTACTCAGGCTTCTGGAATTTTCTCTGTAATATGCTGTTCTTTCTGGTTTGTTCTCTCTGACTTGCCTATTCAACCCCTTGCCCTTTAAACTAAATGGGTCACGTGGGGAAGGGACCCCTGCCTCCAGTTAAGAGGTCTGTGAACTTGCTGAAACCTTCCGCCATCAGCTGAGGCAGAATTAACATTTGTTAATTCTCAAGCCAGTGGTCACGAGCCCTCATCTGCATGGGTTATAACATACCCTGTGTTGTCTTCAAGGCAGAAACGGCCCTAAGAACCACTCAACCGGCTCCAGGAAATAGCTAAATGGCAGGTCAAATTGCCCATAACTTTGACGAGGAGGACGGCTGGATGATTCCGGCGCCTCTCTGGGGAGAAATTAAATTCAGAATCCACACGTCAAGAAAAGGAATCATAAAAAAAAAAAAAAAATCCCCGATGCAGAATTTACATCCTGCCATAAAACAGGGAAGGACTCAGGATGCAGAGGGATCCTTCTGTTAGCAGCGCGCGTTTGTCAGAAAACACCTCCCTCGCCCTCGGCTGGACCAGACTGTTTGCTTTCAGACGATTCCTGTCAAGACCAGACAACCCAGACATTTGCAATTATAGCATATCAATTTGTTTTTAAATTATCAGGTTGCCGGGAAGAGTCGGCTCCCTGCCGGAAAGAGGCTGCAGGGGGCTTCCGGGCGGCAGCCCCGCGTGGCGCGGCCACCACCCGCCCGCCCGAACGCTAAGGGCTGAGACGTCTGCGTCTGCAGCCCGCGCTGGGCCCCACCCGGCTGGGCCAACTGAGGTGCCGCCCCTCGCTCACTCCAGGAGCTCGGGGCCTGCGAATGCCCCACCCGGCTGGCCTCCATTCCGTCACAGAGTCAGACTCCCCGCGCATGGAGGGCTCCAGAGAGCACCGTGATAGAGTCAGAGGACTGGCGAGGAGACTTTACCCCCGTACCACATGGTGGGCGGCGAGGACAAACCTCACCTTTCAAGGTTTTCTTAGCTGTCGCTCCCTCCCCAGCCCTTTCATCACCACTGCCCGCCTCTCCTCAGGATTCTCCTCCACAGAGAAATGGCGGCTTCGCCCTGAATGCGTTCTCGTGCGGGTCTCTGATAGGGGCTGGAGGTCAGCAAAGTCGTGTGAGCTTCTCTCTCGGTGGGGGTTGAGGGGTGGTCAGAGCAGCTGTTGTTTCCTGGGTGGAGGGAGCGATGTGGGTGCTTCAAAGGCACTAAGGCCTTCCTCCTCCAGAGCCAGCTACAGCCAGCCTCCTCTCGATTTTCTGAGGGGCAGACGCACCTGGCTCACAAGAATTTGTTGTTTTGTTGTTTTTTTTTCCGAAACTCATATATTCATTTTAGCTCTGGGACTTGGACCCCTGTTCCTTGTGAAGCAATTATCCTGGCCTTTCTATGACAAAGAATCCTTTCTCTCTTTCCTGAGTCAACTCGTTATAAAGGGCCTCCAAATGTCCCTGGGCTTCCCTGGTGGCTCAGGCCATAAAGAATCTGCCTGCAATACAGGTGACCCAGGTTCAATCCCTGGATTGGGAAAATCCCCTGGAGGAGGGCATGGCAACCCCCTCCAGAATTTTTGCCTGGAGAATTCCACAGACGGAAGAATCTGGCAGGTTACAGTTCATGGGGTCACAAAGACAGACTGAGCGACTAACACAAACACGCAAATACCCCTGCCTGAGCTCTCTAGGACAATGGAGCCAGGCTTCCGGAAGTCACTCATCATGATTGTGGGTGAGGGTAAGGACCATATCAGTTCATTCTGCAGCTCATACAAACTGAGGCATCTCCAACATCCCTACATCATGCGATCCCCTTTTGCAGAGTCCTGCTGCTCCCCTGCCAGCGCAGAAGCCAAAGCAGCCCCAGAACCTTAGAAAGAAGCAGCCTTTCCAAGGAAGGTGGGAAGTATGGTAGCTGACAAGACCCAGAAACACCTCTAGTGCCAGATCACATGGGTTTCCAGACCAGAAAGCCCACCAGATCACCAGACAGAGCTCAGATCACCAGACAGAGCCCAGTGAATGCCTGGGAATGTCAGAGATCTGAGAGGCTATCATTCCTTACTATCAGCTGCTGCACCTTCATTTTGGTTTTAATTTTTGAGATGCTGAGTTCTCCAGAATTCTCTTCCAGATTATTTCCCTGCTCTGGAGAACCTGGGTGTTAAAAAAAAAAAAAAATTCTGTCTCTACTGAGCCTTTTATTCATCAATTATACATAGTCTAGTGCCTGACATCTTCAGAGAAAATTTCTCTATTACCCATACTCTGAAAATCCATTTTGTCCCTTCATTTTTTCATTAAGTCTCTAGAAAATAACTTACTTTGCTTACCCTCCAAAACCCAGGTTGCATGCTCACAACTCAAATTATCTGCTGCCGAAGTCTCCAGGGACCTCTTTGTTGTGAAATCCAGTGTTCATCATGATGTTGGCTCCTCCTGGTTTTCCTCTGCTGCTCTGGCTGCCTGCTATCATAGGGTGACCATGTGAGTTTCATCTAACCCAGGGCCCTTGAGAAAGTGTAAGGGGCAGAATAAACTGTCATGTGGACACAACAGGCATAAAGCAGAACTAACCACTTGCAAACCAGGACATATGGTCATGCTTTTCATCAGTCTCTTCGCTGGCTTATCTTTCTCTGCTTATCCTTAAAGGCCAGTGTCTCTCAGGACACGGTCCTTAAATCCTCCTCTTTTCCTTCTGCACACATCTCTCAAGCAGCTCTTTCATTACCAAGACTTTCAATATCATTTAAGTGCTAATGATTTTCAAGTCTCTATATCTCGAGTTGTGGTAGGCAGCCTCAAAGAAGACACCAATGGCCACTGAGTCCTCTATTCACACCCTGTGCAGTCTTCTCCATCAGTATATCAAGGTCAGTCTGTGTGACCATTAGGATGTGGGAAGTTATGGTGTGTGATTCTGAGGATAGATCAATAAAGACATTGCCATTTCTGCCCTGCTTTCTTAGATCGTTTGCTCTGAGGGATCGTTTGCTCTTAGATCTTTTGCTCTCAGTTCTCTGGTTGTGAAGACACTCAAACCTCCACCTATGGATAGCTCCATATGATGAGAATTTCTGACCTCTTGCCAAGAGCACCAACTTGACAGCCATCTTGAACCACATCCTCCAGCCTAAGTTGAAACTCCATATAACCACAGCCCTGAGCAGCATTTTGCCTACCACCCGGTGAGAAATCTCCAAGCTAAGGCACTGCTCAATTCTTCATTCATGGAAACTGAAATAATAAATATTATTATTTAAGCCATCAATCTGAGGACAATTTACCATAAGCAATAGGTGGTGTTGGTGGTGTTATTGTTCAGTCGCTAAGTCATGTCCGACTCTTTGTGACCCCATGAACTGCAGCACGCCAGGCTTCCCTATCCATCACTATCTCCCTGAGTTTGCTTAAACTCATGTCCATTGAGTCAGTGATGCCATCCAACCATCTCATCCTCTGTCACCCCTCTTCTCCTCTTGCCCTCAATCTTTCCCAGCATCAGGGTCTTTTCCAACGAGTTGACTCTTTGTGTCAAGTGGCCAAAGTATTGAAGCTTCAGCATCTGTCCTTCCAATGAATATTCAGGACTGATCTCCTTTGTGATTGACTGGTTTGATCTCCTTGAAGTCCAAGGGACTCTCAAGAGTCTTCTACAACACCACAATTTGAAAGCATCAATTCTTTGGTGCTCAGCATTCTTTATGGTCCAACTCTCAACAGATGAATAACTTCATTCTTTCTCTTAAGCCTTGTATCCACATGCCTAGATATCTTAGCTCTGTTCTCTAATATCCCAAAGACAACTCAAATTTAACACTCCTGAACTACACACATTTTCCCTCCATCACCTTCTTCCCAAACCCACTTCTCCACCTGCTCCCCATCTCACTGAATGGTGGTGGCATCTTACAGTTACTGAAGCCAGAAACCCAAATATCATCCTTGCCTCCTGTCTCTCCTTCCATGTATTATCCATCATCAGTTCTGACAATTGATTCGTCCGTCTAAGTAAATATCTCTTAAATCCATGTACCTCTCTCCAGCTACTTCAATTCAGACCATCATCATCTCTCTTCTGAGTTATCACAACAGCCTTCTTAGCTGGATTCCTTACTTGTTTTTACCTTCTTCAATTCAAGTTCTTAAGAAAACATTTCAACCACGTCATGTGTCAACCCCTATTTAAAACCCTGCTATGGCATCACCATGCCCTTGGAATAAAACCCAAGCCACCGTCACAGCTCACAGAGCCCTATGAAATGTCCAGCCTCCAGCCTCCTGCTTTGCCATCCCACCTGGGCATGCCTTTCCGTACACATTCTCTTCTTCTACCTGGAAATGATACCATTTCCCTCCAGACTCATAGCTGTCACCAGACTGACTCTTACTCATCTTCCAGATTTCAGCCTGAAAGTCGCTCCTTCCAGAAGCCCTCCCTGAACAATGCTCACCACATTAGGTCTGACTGCAGCCTAGTTCTCCAGGAGGCAGAGCTGGAGACAGAGGTGAACACGCAGGAGGTTTATTAGAGGATGCTCTCCCAATCAACACCTGTGGGAGAGAAGGGAGGAGAAGTGGGCCAAGGGAGATGCTGAGCTGTGATACAGCCCCCCAAGAGGCCTCAGCTGATCTCACAGGGATTCTGTGACTCAGATGACCCTTCAACTGTCCCAAGCTGGGGCACGGGGTTGGGCCTTCATACACACAATCCATCAGTCATTGGATGTGGCTACCCTGAGAAGAAGCATTATCTGGGACCAGACGGCTCTCCCCAGAGATAGGCACCTCCACAGGGCGCCCACGGCTGAAGGCCCTCCCAGCTCCCAGCAGCTGAGGGGGTATGTCCTTGGTTTCTATTTGGGACTCTCCAAGAACCTCTGCTGTTTCCTCCTGTACCCTGAACCCACTCACACAGCCCTGTACATTGCCTGACTCCATTCTCTGCCTTCTAAGCACAGTTCACACCTTTTTCAACTCTACAGCCCAGCACCTAACACTATCTGACATACAGTAAGTGCTTAATAAAATAGTGTTGAATTTGAAGAAGAGGGAACAAAATTTGTTCCCAGGTCCCTGGAAATATTCCTTCCCTGAGCTGCCACCTAGGCTTCCACCTGAGGCATGATCAGGTGGCCCTCCTAAGGTGGGTCTTTTCCCAGAACAGACAGTGGAACCAGCCCTGAACCCTGGTGGAAGATGTGTGGGCACTCTCCCCGCTGCTGGGTCAGCTATTAGCCCCTGGAAACGCAGAGCTGGAATTAACAAGTCTGATGCAGTCAGATGCCCCAGAGGAATATTTTTTTTCCTCCTCATTTTATTCTCACTTATTAAATTTTAAACAGCCCTTGAAGACTCCAGCCTAACACAGAAATCAAACACAACAAAACAATGTGTTTGTTTCTTATTAGTACGACAGAGCGGACAGCATTGCTCCAGCCAAGCTGTGAGGTGTGGCAGAAAAATCAACCATCTTCCTCATGTCTCCAGTGGGCCCAGCATTCCCCACAGAGGTCAAGACCCCAGCTCCTGGGAACCCCAGCTGCCTGCACACAGATTCACCTGCAGGCTGCTGCCAGGACAGGCCAAGAGCCTTCAGGTAACTTCTGCTGCAAGGGAAAGCCCAGTTGGGGGAAAGGAGGTTGTGCCCCAAAATAGCTCACTACAGCCTGGGTTCTCCAGCATCAGCTCTATGTCCTGCAGCCTTGATCGTTGGGGAAGGGTCTTAAGAACATCCTGTGAAATGGACACAGTGCCCCTAGAGGAGAGTCACGTGCGTCCCCAGGCCTGTCCTGGGGTCACTTTTACTCCTGCCTCCATCATCTCAACCCTCAGCTGGGCCCTGCCACTGGACAAGAGACATTCCATAGCAACTTGCTGTGTGTTTATTTATTTTGGCTGGGTCTTTGTTGCTGCACACGGGCTTATCTCTTGTTGCACTGGGCAAGGGCTACTCTCTAGCTACAGTGCACCAGCTTCTCATTGCAGTGCCTTCTCTTGTTGCAGAGCACAGACTCTAGGTGTGGGCTCCAGGCACATGGTTTTAGTTGCTCCATAGCAGGTGGGGTCTTCCTGGACCAGGGATCAAACCCATGTCCCCTGAAGGCAAATTTTTAACCACTGGACCAGCAGGGAAAGCCCAAAAGCATCCTTTTGGATCCAGGAACATCTTGAGATAATACGAGAACAATTTACATACATCAGTGGCAAG